CAATTCAAAAAACAATAACGGAGAAAGCTGGTTGAGACGAAATTCAGTAGTCTAAGTTTCTTTAATGGCCTCATTCACGCAAATGGGCTTTGCAGCTGATACAATCATTGTCCTGTCATCAGCATTGAAACTTAAACATGTCTTGCAGAGGGGAAGTAGTCATTTAAGTGGTTCCTTTTCCAAGTGTATGTACAGTATACCGTTGACAAGAGGACCCATTTAGACAAGTTTAACTGAGAAAAAATACAAAAAAATAACGTTCTTCTCAATTAATGGTGTTGTTTTAAGACCCATAAAGGTTTAGGAAGAAAGTGGTTATGGTAATGACTGAGAAAATAGGCAAGTATTCGAAAGTCCAAATACATTATTCCGAATTCATTCTCAATAGCATTCCGTTTATAAATGCGCTGAGATACATAATTTAAGGTAAAAACCTGAGATGGTGAAATTGGGCGCGTTAACTGTCGGCTGTATCAACGACTTATAAAAGCTTGAGGAGAACGATTAACGGCTAAATCGCTGTAAACAAACAATGTTGATATTTGTTGTTTCTCGGACTAATGCACGAAACATTTAAGTAATAATAACGTTTGTACACATTTGACCACACTGTTGAAACGACGTTGAAATATTTTGCGTTCGTTGCGTTGGTTTGTTTGCGTTGCCTGAGTCATTACGTACCTTAGGCCGGACCTTTACTCAGCTGTAATTGTACATTAACGTCATTTTAACATTCGAATACCTTTGAGTAACTCTTTTCAGTGAGCTTAAAAGTTCTATATCGTTTATAAGCGTTGCGAATCGACTAGCATTACTGTTTTGAAAGAAATGACACGGGAACCTAGTGAATTTTCTCGTCTATCTCACATTTTTAGAATTGAAACGTGCAGCAATTCACTTGAGTAAAAATCTTGAACATGCTCTAATATTTACAAACCAGATGGCTCAATTTTACGTAGTAGGGTACTTTTAATTACACAATAGATGCAGTCAGTATTTTTGTTTGGTAATCTTGTTTCAGATGGTTTTTTACATTTCTTGTTTCAAATAAAATGAAAAAGGCAGTATTATCCGAAGCAGAATGGATTTATTATGATTAAAATGCTCTATTTCGTACGTGCCTACCATTTTATTCTAGTAGACGACTTCCTACGTATCAAGTGACTTGTGCCAAACGACAATTACAAAAGTTTACAGTCCTTTTGTTGTGGCCATTAAAAAAAGGCAAGACCATTAAACATGTTCAGAGTCTTTTAGCAAGTTTGTTTGCTGAAGTAAAAGAAGATAAATAAATCTGAGTCTATAAAAGATTAATACCTTGTTTAGTTGGGTGCAGTTTGAATGCTCTTTCACTCGGCACAAGATGTTGAAGACTTTGGGATTACTGGCAGTTTTACTCGTTCCACTTCCATCGCTTACCAAAGGTAAGAAGGTGAAGGGTTTGTGCTTTCTAATATAAGAGGACCTAAATATGAGCGACCAAAAGTAAGACGGATCATTAATTGTTTCCATGTGACCCATGTACAAATCAAATCTCGATACACAACACTATACCAGGAAGACAGAGCTCTAGGAAGAAAAAGGCTAATATAATGCCAAAAGACTAAAGACACAATTAGCAACATTTGTCCGTTTTTGTTAAAAAATAAGGATGTTGTTTTTTTCAATAGCACAAAGCCTTGTGCGTGTTTCTTAATTTCCAATATGTATGGGATATTCCATGCAAAAAGAAGGAGAAGTTAAAATTTTCCAAAAAAAAATGCACTTATGTTATATGTAGGAGTATTGCAAAAATATAAAGATTTTTATAAAAATTTGTACAATATAGATGGCCGTCGTCAATAGTAACTATTCGACCGCCGGGGATTGCTTGAGTATCCTCACGACCCTAATTTGTGAAACTGAAAAGACAGTTCTTACACTAACATATTGGAGGCGTTCATTATCAACTATTTTGAATAAAAAGAAATTAAGATCATGAAACAAGTCAAAGAATTCGCTGCATGCGCACGTATATACCTTGATTATCCTAAAGACGCGTTCTTTACAGCATTCAAATAAAAATATTTCAATGAGTGCCCATGAGTAAAAAGGAAAAGGGTACCCTTTGAATCATACTCTAGTGTATCTAATTCCAAGCCAAAACGATTTCAAACCTAGATTTCAAATCTACTACTAAAAGCGCATTACATTCATGTATCTATCCAACTTTCTTGGCTCTTGATACTATTTCACCGAACATTGTTTCCATGTAGGCCAGGCATATGCAAACATAATTTGGAAACACGACACCGTACTAGAAAGAAAATTAAAAAAAGAGAGGAACAGCCAGAATTTCTCAGAGCGAAGAAGGAACTGCTTGGAGCAAAAAAGACCACGACCAGCGTGATTGCAAACGACGAAACATCAAAAGTCTACACCATATGATGAGCAACATTTGTGTGCTTTAGTTTCAAATTATAATGTTTTCAGTTTCAATACTCCATGAACAAAAAAGGACGAAGGAGTTAAAATTTTCTATAAAATTTTTTCTTGAATATTGCAAAACTATAAGATATTAAAACTAAAGTTCACTTAGCCCTTTTTTGTGCAATATAGACGGCCGATTTAGTAACCCCCGCAATCAGAAAGAGGACGTGTAATTTGGAAGCAAAGCTTTATTTGTATTGAAATATGTTAGGCGTTCAATAAAACAGACTTTGATCTGTAATTATCAGTTATTTTAGTCGAAAAGAACTAAACATTGTGAAGCAATTTAAAGAATTCGCTGCATGTGCAGGTAGCTAACTTTTTCTAAAGACGCGTTCTTTATAACGCGATTCAAATAAAAATATCTCAGAGCAGAATTTTTCCTTTACTGAGACACACTATTGTCAACCGAATGCCAGCTTGAGTTATGCTCGCTCAGGAGAAAAAGGTCGTTCATTTCTTTTTCGAGCTTCGCTTCACGTAAATTTGCATAGACTGGACGTTCTCGTGGGAGCGCCTAGGGCGGAAAATATTACGCCCAGTAGAGATCCGCAATGCAACCCAATGGCATTACTTTTAAAAAAAATCAACAGTCCATATAGAAATATCTAACTAAGAAAAGCTTAAAGCTCAACTCAGATAAATTGTGAAATAAAGAGCAAGTAATATTTCATATGGGAAGCAATAATTCCTTTTTGATGAAGTTACTTTTTTTAATTAAAACAGCCGAATGTGGAAAGCGCGTCGCTCAGTCGTCCCGCGTGGTAAACGGTGAAGAAGCCACACCCAATTCGTGGCCGTGGCAGATTTCTCTCCGCTACCGAGATTACCCAGACGTCAATGCTTACGGTCACATTTGTGGAGGATCACTAATTGAGAATGACTTGGTTTTGACAGCCGCTCACTGTGTAGAGTTTCAGCCCGATCCTGCTGTATTTAAAGTCATTGTTGGTAAGTTTATCACATAGCTGCTTCGGGGATGTGGATGGACCATTGTCTATTGTTATTTCCCTTTCCTTCGAACGACTTCAATTTTTCTCTTTCTCTTCTTCTGACACTTCCTTCCTTCCTTTCCAACCGCTCTCCTCCCC